TTATTTGAGGATCTATAACCACATTGAACTTACATATCTTTAGAAAACCGGCACGTTGATATACAAAAGTTTATTATTCCCAACCGTCTCCCCACTTTGTCCCTACGCCTTTTGCGACGAGGGGACGGTTATTAACTTATTTTATTTCATAATGGTTCTATCTGTCACCTTATTAGTGATAGTGGGACTAAAATGTGGTATGGATGAAATTTTTTATTCTCATCTATCCCCACGTGGGGATATAGCGGAGTGACGGTTAGAAATAATTAGTTTCTGAAGTATACTTACTTGGCGAGGTCTCTCGGTATTTCGTATGGCGGCGTTGCGCGGCGCGGAGGCCGGCAGGCCGCGAGGCACCCCTCACAACGGTGCAGGCGCATCTATAACAATACATACATATAAATAACATCGAATATAATACTAGCTTTCATCCGAGAATCCGTCTGTAAGTAGCCTACGTGATTTCCAGACTATCTTATACATCTATGCCAATACTGAGCGAGATTAGTTTATCAGTTTAGGCTACAAACTCTAAACAAAATCCATTTAAAAGTTCTCATTTCATATTATATTATAAAGAGGAAAACTTTGTTTCTTCGATTGTAACGAAATAACTCAAAAACTACTGGGACAATTTGAAAAATTCTTTCACCGTCAAAAAGCTGCGTTACAACTGAGTAACATAGGATGCATTTTTTATTATTTTTTTAATTCAACGCCTGCGAAAACGTGTGCAATAGCTAGTAATATTATAAATGTGAAAGTTTAGATGTTTGTTTGTTTCGATTAAATTAATTTAACATAATCTCAATGATATACAGAACATAATTGTCATATAAAACATGACATTCTAGAATTATCCACGGTCATATCTGATAACATGATAATTTATAGTTGACAATTTATAAATGACTAGCTGTTCCCGTGCGACTTTATCCGCATGAAATTTTATTTTATTGTTTAAATTTGTCAAATTTTTATTATTTGTAAATTGTCTAGATAGAGATGTAAGACACAACAATCATGTTTTTTATCTGCCTACCACATTATGTTTAACCAGCTTAAGCTCGCGACTTCAAACGCGTTTAAAAAATAATAAAAAGCATAGCCTATGTTACTCACTGATAAAGTAGCTTTTTATTAGTGGAAGAATTTTTGTAATCAACCCAGTAGTTTTTGAGTTATTTGAATACAAACAAAAAACAAATCTTTCTTCTTTATATTATTAGTATAGATGGGAAGGATTATTTTATTATTAATCACGAGCCGTCTCCATTCGTTCAACACTGTGTAACAAATGATGTAACAAACGGCAACAAAAGACGTAACTAAATGCAAGATCTGCATACAAATAAGATTTTCATTACACGAGGAAAAAACAATGTTAAAACACTAGAATATTCGAAGAAAGTTTAGAATTTAACTATAGTAATATTATAAAGAGGAAAGATTTGCATTTTTCGATTTTATGTATTTAAATAACTCAAAAACTACTGGGGCAGATTTCAAAAATTCTTGCCCCATTTAAAAGTTCATTATCAGTTAGTAATGTAGACTATGTTTTTCTATTCTTTTTTAATTCCACGTGAACGAAGTCACGAACAACAGTTATATCATACTAATATTATAAATGCGAAAGTTTAGATGGATGTTTTTAAGAGTTTGTAGTCTAAACGGCTGAACGGATTTCTATGAAATTTGGCATAGATGTAGAGGATAGTATGGAAGAACACATTGGCACTTTTGATTTTTTTTTCATTCTACGCGGACGAAGTCTCGAACAACACCTATATAATACATAACTTTATTAAAAAGTACACAATCTTAATAAGAGCGTCGGCGCCTCAGGGGTTTAAGCACTTAACTTATGTTGACTTGACTTGAGCTGTTGCTCGCGACTTCACCGACGTAATATTAAAAAACATAGTCTATGTTACACAGTGATAACGTAGCTTTTTAATGATGTAAGTATTTTTGAAATCGCCCCAGTAGTTTTCGAGTTATTTCAATACATACAAAAATTTCTTCTTTATAATATTAGTATAGATATAGTCTAGTATTGCTCGACTTTGCGTGAAAATAAAATAATAAAACAATACAACCTATATAACTCACAGATAGACGCTTCTATCGGTGTAAGTTTTTTTGAAATCGCCCCAGTAGTTTTTGAGTTATTTCAATACATACAAAAATACAAATCTTTCCTCTTTATAATATTAGTATAGATAACGGTACATAATTAAATCACTGACCCATTGGCCCGGAACGTCGATGCATTACAAAGTAAAAGTGGTCTAACAAAAGGCCGAAAAAGGGCTTATGACCGGTTTTCAAGAATTCATTAATTACGTTATCAAAAACCTGTTCCGTATAATTTAGTGAGAGCGTTTTGTGACAATTACGTAATATACCACATCGAAAACTAACTTATCTATACTATTATAATAAAGCGTAAACACACTTCTTTGTTGCCTAAGATGTCAGCAATTACAGAATATTTTTGAATAACTCTTTTTTTAATAAAAAGCCCTACACTTACGTCACGCTTTAGGCTATATATTTTCATTAAACTAAGAGGTTAAATATTATGGATAAAAACCCTAATATGCGAAAGAGACCATACGATACGAGCTACCAACATCAAGAATCAAAATTGCCATAGTAAGGTAATTGGTATTTTGACATATGCAATCGAAAATTTGACATATGTAAGTAATAAACGTTTTTATTATGTCATGCGGATGAAGCCGCACGGGAACAGCTAGTCTATAATAAACCAGCTGTTTCCGTGCGGCTTTATCCGCATGTCGTTACAAGAACGTTCTTTTATTGACTTAGTAAGCGCAAATTTGGACCACCAATTACGCCATGTTGAAAGCGCGGAATTAAAAAAAATAGCCTATAATATTCCCGTCAATGTCAGATACCGTCCGTTTAGGAGATTAGCCGGAACAAACGCGGCTTCCGGACAGACAGACAAACAAAAAAAAATGTGACTGTCGTTATCAGCAAAGCAAATACATCATCATCCCGAAATCTGGAACTTTTCTTTTGTTATTACAAACAGACACACCAATTTTATTAGACGTATAGACAGAAGATATAGATGGATTACCTCAAGTCAAATAATCAATTTCAAATCTCAATTTTAATGCACAAATAACAACGAAGGCCTTCGACATTGGATAACAATTACCGTTACCAGCAACCTTGCTTCTTTGTTGCTATTAGCTTGTGGTTATCTCTTTCTCGTTGAGCCAGTTTTATCCAATTTACTTACCCCCTAAGTTTAATAGCGTTCAAATATATACCCTATAGAGTGCCGTAAGTGTAGGGCTTTTTATTAAAAAAATAATTATTTAAAAACATGCTGTAATTACTGAGATCCTTCATAACAAAGAAATATGTGTTTGCGCTTTATTATATTCAAGTACAAGTCAAGGTCAATTAATAAAATCTTACTAATATTATATAATAAATGCGAAAGTTCAGATGGATGGACGGATGTTTGTTAGCGTTTGTAGCCTAAACGGCTGAACGGATCCGCATGAAATTTGGCACAGGTTTAGAGCATAGTCTGGAAAAACACATAGGCTACTTTTTATCACTGGAATAGTTACGGTTCCCGTGGGATTCATTAATTTAGTTTTTTAATGTTTACTCGATCATTCTGCAACGGTTCACCATATCTTGTTGTATTTTGGCACAGATGTAAAACAAAGTCTGGAGTACACATGGGATAAGCTTCATCCCCGAGGGATACGCAGCTTTATGTTATTTATATTGTTCGTATGTTTTCTAATACCACGCGGACGAAGTCGCGGGCAACAGCTCGTATTTCTATAATTACTGTCAGAAAAACTACTTCGCGAACGTGATGTATTTCTGTTGCTTTTCGTATTTGTCCACAAGTCCACATTTGTTCCTGATAATCTCCGGAACGGTTGGACCGATTTCGACAGAACTTTAACTGGAAGATAGCTGATGTAAGCAGGAATGTTATAGGCTACCTTTTATTTCAACGCTGACGAAGACACGGGCAACAGCTAGTTTTACAAATAGCGATGGACATTGTACCTATATTTAATCTGAACACTTATCGGAGCCAAGCCCACAGTTTGTAAGTAGATAAAGTAATTGATAACCTTATCTTGTTACTTGTTTAAAAATTTAGTTTATTTTGTCACTACGTTATATTCAATATGATACTTGAAATTTGGACCACCCGTTATGCCATTTTGACAGCGCGAAA